CTGTCATTAAAATTTTCCTGTGTTTCGGTTAGTCAAGATATAGTCACATGACAGTCAATAGCAAGTGGTATTTATTTATGTAAAACAATGAATGATATCAGTGGCCATTCTGTACAATATGACATGTTATAAATTATATAACCCTTACACCCCTATATTTATATAATGAACTTGTCCTCCTTTGAATTTGGAACTGTCCATTGTAAATATAAGGAATTTTGATATCCAAATGTGTAAATTTTTTTTAAAAATGTATGCAGCACATTCAAATCTAGGGTTTTACCACAAAATTGTTGTAAGTTCTTCATTATTTCATATAAGTTACTGCAGTTTTTGCAGTCAACCCTTGAAATGCATGATGAAATCTTGTTGGATTGCACAGAAGCTTGATGACTTTATTCTGATAGCAGGATTTTAGTCAAGTCAGCTATTGCTGCTTTAGCATTTTAACCGGTTTAAATTTTGCAATGAAGAAAAACGATTTATTTGTAAAGGAGATACCCTATTTATGTTCTGATAACAGAATTAATTGTAAATTAGATACCACATTTATGACAGAAATACGCAATTCGCAATTCTATTATTTTTTTTCCTTGCATCAGAATATTACTCATTTTTTACCCTTGTATCAGAAGAATTACAAATTTCTACTATATCGAGAATTAACCTAGGTTTTAAACTATGATGGTCCTAGCTTTATATCTCCTGTATATAAAAATGCTATAATTCTCTTGTAACATTTCACATTTTCATCTTGATACTAGCTTAGAAACAGCAGGTGAAGTTTGAATGAGAGACAGGATATAATATATTGAGATAAATGATGGATAGTAACAATGGAAGGTTTTATACAGAAGTCTCTATGGTGATTTCAATTCTTATGTCTATGTTCTTTTTCTTGTGTCTTATTCTGTTTTATTATGTAGAGGAAATAAAGATTTAGTAAAATAGATGTAAAATTTCAAGCTATTTAAAAAATTTCAAGCTATGCAAATGTAACATTATTACAAGAATTTTATTTGTTCAAAAAACGTGAATAATTGTTTTCTTATTCTTAACTACTTGTTACTAACCTTGCTGAAAATTATTAACCTTGTTGAAAATTATGACACTTTGCCGACACTTTGCTGACACTTTACATTCTTTCTACAAGAAATGCAGGGAATTGGTGCCTATCCTTATTGAAAAATTCAGCAGAAGTTAATTTATTGCTAGATGTTTGGTGCATTTCTGGAATTTTATCTTATGTTTACTGAAATACGTGTATTTTTTTTTTCAATTTTGCAAAACTAGTTTTTTTTATTCATCTACCAGTAATGTAAATAAAAAATTTTCATCCAGTGACAAGTTCTTACCAGTAAGAAAAGTTGTCGTTAAATTTTTATTTTATGAAGATGTAACTTATATTTAAATTTTGCTCGTTATTTGCTTCTGGTTTAAGTCACAGTTGTCATAAGATATTAAATTATGATATGACCTACATGTACTAGGGTTAAAATACAAAATACAATGCATGCAATACATCATGTATTGTAATAATATATAATATATTAATAGCGAGTAAAATGTCGATGAGAAAATGCATTTGACCTTATGAGAAACATAGTACATTTTGTTCTAAATAGGTAATTATGATTATGTAGGGATGTAAAGTGGTTGTAGTAATTCACTTGTTAACATAAATCAGCTGACCCGTATTTTTTATCATGACTGAAGGATAAAAGGGCATACATATATTATCAACCAGTATATATGTAGTAAAAATGTAGTATGAGTACAGTAAGTCTGTTGCTGGATACAGGGCAATATGGGTTGTTATTGAGTTATTAAGACAGATAAGGGATATAATAAATAACTTATTGCATTAAGCATTATTGTAACAAGGGGAAATAAGGTAAAGAGAAATTAAAAAAGTAAAAAAAAGAAATAGATATGAGTGGATCAAATGTTACCCAAGCATATGTCCAGCAGGTAAATTTAGTTTATTTCTTACACTAACTGTATAAGTGTGGCAAAGCTGATTTTGGTTAATAAAGAAAGTTTATTTTATATGTTTTGTTTATTGTAATTTTTCAAGTAATTAAGTATTGTAACAAGACTCTTAGAAAAAAGACTTGGTAGAGTTAAATTATTTTTACATAATTTTAATAATTAGATTTTATCACACGAAAAAAATTTTTTTTTATGACATTTGAATGAACTTTGAATTGTCACTGTTTTTATTTTGCATTTAGATAAACATAATAGATATAATATATGTAATTTAATTAATGGTATAAGGTCATACACTGGCTGTTCAATGTAATTGTAAAATTTTAAAATATTTATATTTTTCTGTTTTAGCTTTCTCTATTGAAATGGAATGCAGAAAATTTATTGTGATATACGTAAATGCATTATACATTATAATCTGCTATAAAAGTCACAAAGGTCATAGATAAATATCTTAAAGTTAGTAAAACAATATTATGGTAGAAAATGTCATAACTGTAAAACTACCATGCAGGTAAACAGACAAAAACTTAAATATTGGGATTCTAATTTAAAAAAAAAAAGTTTTCCTATCTACTTTTTGACATTCTGACGAAATTATGAAGTTATTTATAAAGGTTTAACGTATTTGTACACTATAATAAGCTCCTGTCTAAAGCTGTTTTCACAAGTTTTTAAGGGAGCAACAGTAGATGAGACACGAAGGCTTATAAATCTATTATTTAACAGGTAACAGTTGTGACCCTATTAAGTTACTAGTATTAACAAACAAGCTGGTTCCCGTTTTTTAAAGTATTTGTATACCAATATATAAACCCAATATTTCTTGTATTATTACAGTATACGTTTAATGGTTTGTGTATAGATTTTCCCCTTATTTGCTCAATATAGTTTGAATTACTAGTACGACATCATACGTGGCAGCAACAAGTTACGTGAAGCGTGTATATTGGGATATTTAGTACGATCATATGAAATAAGCAGATATTATTTGCACTGATTTTTTGTTAAAATAAAATAATTTTGGAAATCATAAAAAATGGCTACCTCTGGGAGGCCTGGTCCGTCAATGGATGTAAGACATGTAAGTTAAATTAAATAATATCTTTTTACTGGTTTTTCTTTTTTTTTTTAAAATAAATTCAGCATATTCTTGATTGTTGTGTTAGAAGCTAAGCAAACTAGTTATTAAGAAAAAGGAAATGTAAATCTTATTTGGCTTGAATTGTCATTTTATGTTTAGTATAAAACTCTTTCCATTTTACTTTATTTTTACCTTTACAAATCAGTAAAATAGAATTCTAATCATTACAAAAATGTTGTTTTCTTTGAAATTAATTGATTTTAATTTTAGAATTAATATCCCTTTACATTATAAGCTATGAAAAATATGTTGTAGGTAAATACTTAGTTTTGAGTTTTGTTATTTCTTAGATCATACCATTGTTGCAAACTTGCAGTGTTAGATTATTGAATAATAAAGCCTTGTTTAATGCAAGAAATAAGTCACTAGGTCAATATAAATTGTCAGTTTTGTATTTATATATATGGCCTATAAATATATATACATGTACATGTATGTGTAAATATAAATTTTTCAGACAGTTTTAGGAATTTTAAATTCCTTATATTCTAATAATTATGTTATTATAAATTAATTGCTACAAAGTTGTTAAATGATGTTAGATGATTACATGTACATGTATGTTAAATGTTTTGTAGTTCTCTCTATCATTTAAATCTGGAGTTATACAATCCATTTTTCTAAAACTCACCAAAAAAACAAGTAGGGCACTTAAATTTAAAGAAAGCAACACTGTGTTGTGAGTTATGTGTAATATGGTAGTTCCAAGTAAATTTGGGTGATCGAGATAATTGGGAAGTGCACAAAGTGCAAAATGCAATGCTGATACATGACTCATCACTCTATAAATAAAAATCCCTTCCTATGTTAACAGATTATCACTGAAGGGTTTATAGCTTGAATACGTCATCATCTTTATGATTAATCACAAAATAAAAGCTTAAAAAATCTATAAATAGAATTGGATAACTCTTCTACCAAGTCTGACAACTCTGACAGAACTTTTTTGTTGGACTGTTTTCTGTCTTGTTTGGTTGATGCTGCAGGGCTATGATCTGATTTATTATTTAAGGGGCATTTATTGAGTACATGTTATAGTAATTTATTGATCTGTGAGAATAAACTTGGAAGTAGTTCTAATATTATGCTATTATATACATTTTGTTCTTTTGATTTATGAAGCTTATTAAACAATTAATAAACCAGACTATAGATTGGACATTTTCATTGGTTTATTTCAAATCAAGGCTAAAGTACAGCCAATCAAATGCTTCAATGTTAGACTGGTTTTTATTGTAGCTTTTTTATGTGTCTAGTCCTCATTATGAATATAATTAATGTACAGTTATATATAAAGTTATTGGTTTATTATGCAGAAATATCTGTCACCAGCAACTCTATTTGACATGATTATAGTAACGTTTACAACTAGGTCTTGCAATATTTTACTAAATCAAGACCAGAATGTACAAAATAGTATAAAATGTATTGAAGCATGTAATAGTAAATTATATACATTATTTTTACAGCACAATTTAGGAGTAAATTAAGGATAGTGTAATTTAGATAAATTATGATTGATAATGTGTATAATTTGTAAAAATAATTACCATTTATATTTATCTATAAATTAATCATGCATTATCAAGGTCACCTGCTTTAAATGTTATTTGTAAAGGCAGCACAATACTGTTGTATTTAGACAGTCATTATACAGGGTTGTTTTTGTATTCAGTTGTTTGTTTGATAGCATATTGAGAGGTGAATCTTTAATATACCAAGTGTTGCTTTCATAAGTTGCAAATTTACTTTCAGGAAACTGATTTCTTGACGATATAACAAAATTCTTAGCTAGGTTAGAATGCAATACATATAAATTTATTCTGACAAAAATCATTAAGTTGTATGTTTTCTATATTTTCAGGCCGTACAAAGGGCAACTAATGTAGTGTACCAGGAGCATAATGTATCAAGAGATAAGAGAGGGAAGGTACTCGGGACCAAAGCTGGATTTAGAGGATGCACCGTATGGTTGACCGGTTTGTCTGGTGCCGGAAAAACCACCATCTCATTCGCTCTGGAAGGTTCGTACCTATATTAGCATTGATTTTGTCCTGAAAATTTTTTTTATAAGCTTTTCAACACAATAGGTAGAAGTCAAGAACTCTGTTAATACAATACAAGCTTATGGTTGTACTCTGTTGGTTGTTGCTAAGAGGTGGTTGCTTTACAGAGGTTAAATTTATTTTTGAGTACTGATGTAAAGAGGTTATTGTTTTATAGAGGGCTGCTCTGTAGAAGGTTCACTGTAATCCTGTAAACAACCAACCATTTAAGATTAACAACCATGTTTAAAGCTATACAAGCACAGTCTTAATTCAGAAAACTAATTCTTGTTTTGTTGCAATATATTTGGTATTTTAACATTGTATTTTGGTATGTATTTAGAATATTTGGTGAGTCAAGGAATCCCTGCCTACAGTTTAGATGGTGACAACATTCGAACTGGTTTGAACAAGAATCTTGGTTTCACCCAGGAAGACAGGGAGGAGAATATCAGACGTATTTCCGAGGTCGCTAAACTCTTCGCTGATGGCGGTATTGTCTGTATCACAGCCTTCATCAGTCCATACGCCAAGGTAAATAGTTCTACTAGTATATTTTAGATTTTAAAACATGGATAACAAAAATCATTTGCATAAAATGATTTCCTAAACTCAAATATTTCCTAATTGTTTCACACCAACCATGCTCCAAGGAACAAGGACAAATGAACAATTGAGAGTTCCTTGTAAAACCGTAGAAATCTTGTCTTTTATATTCTTATATAACCTTTTATTAAAAGTTTTCCATTTGAACCTGAATGTAAGAATTTGGTCCTCTTTGGCCTATCATCATTTCATGCAATAAAAAAATTTACTTTAAAAAAGTCATATGTTTGCAAAGTTGTCATTGAATGATAATAAGTTGAATGGCAAGACATCAACTTACATTAACTATGTAACCTGGTGAAATAATTATGTCATGATTTTAATGTTCACAAAGGTTATCATATCATAACCTTAGTTTTAGGGACATAATATGATAACCTAGATGAATCAGTTAGACAGACAACGCAGTCATGTAAACTTGATTATTTCATTTATGTCTTAAATCTCAGAGACATAGTCCCAGTTTGATACAGAGTCTATTTTAAAACATTAAATGGTTGTATCCAGTCGTCAATTTAAATTTATGATAATTAGCTTGTTACGTTTTAACCAGTTTACTGCAAGCTCTCAAAAAGTTATTAATGACATCATTCTGCATCCCATCAGTGTTATTAACCCTTGACTTTTATACAGATTCTAGTATCAATATGGTATGATTCTACTTGAAGTTCATGAGGTGACCAGTTTAAACCTTAATGTTGACAGAGATGTCAACATTGATAAAAAAAGTGATACATAGCTTTACCTATAAATCAATGAAAATCTGCATCGTTCTTGCCAGAGGTTTCATATGACAGATAGGTAGCCATATAGCTTTATAACGGATAAAAATTCCTTTCTCCCTCTTTAATGTTCCAAGGCCTATTTTCTATGATTCAGCAAAAGTTTGAATCAATACTAAACATTCTACAAAATATTGCTCTGTTCTATTTAAGACCACTGTTACAGGAAATGAGTGTTCACAATCATTACATAATTATTCCATTATCTCCTAATGTTAAAATTGGTAGAGATAATCTCTGTTTTCTGTAAAGTGGTAATTAATCTCTTACAATACAGCAACATGCCAGCTGACTAGTGATTAAATTGTCTTTTAAAATCTGCAATGCTTCATTTTGCTGCAGTTGAAATATAGAATTTCACTAATGAGAAATGCTAGGTTTTGTGTTATTGAAATAAAAAGTTGAGATCTTGCATGTTCAAAGGATTTTGAAACTATACAAGTTAAAATTCCTTTTTGTTTATTTTATTTGTCTGAAAATTGTTTTATTACAAATTTGAGAATTATTTCAATTATTAATTCCTGATCGTTCAGTGCTCTCCCTTTTAAAAGTGTTCCCTTTTTTATGAAGATATTGTTCTTCTCTTATAAAATAGACCTGAATATTAAGTACTCTCCACTTATTAAATATTTTAGTATAGAGTTCTCTCCCCTTAAGAAGCATGTCACCATTTTATTTATACAAACAATATATTACAATACATATCATCCCTATCCAGCAAAATCACAGCATCTCATCAGTAAAAATCTGTATATCTCAAGTTCTCAACAAATTGGAGTCTCCAATAAGAGATGTCAATAAAAGCAATACCAGTCTTGTCTTATGTATTATTCATTGCATGAATTATTCATTACTGATGGACAGTTTTTATCCACAGAATTTGTCTCAATACCTCAATACAAGTGGCAGTAAGTAACGTGTTGAGGTATCTTATTTCATGTTATTGACGAGAGACACTTACAAGATTCTTTTCTGATTCTTAAAGCAGCATGCCTCCATATATAGGCAATTTTTGTTGAAAATTTTGAAAATGTATTTAGAAGTAAAATATTAACAAAGTCTTGATTTACACATTGCAAATGTCACTTATAATCCATGTAAATTACCCAAAAGAGGTAAAATTATGCAAAAATAGCCTTTTCTAAGTTAGTCATTCTGTAGAAATATGGTAATAAATACTAAAAATCAGTCACTAATCATACATAACATGTAAGTTATTACTTAAATCTTAAATCTTTTTACCTTTCTTAAAATCTGTGTTAATTTTTCTCAAGTTTTATTTTCATGAAACATTTGGATGCAGCTTTAAGTAATTTCAAGATAACATAATGATGATAGGAAAAAAAATGATAAGAATTTTCATTTTCAAGTTGGTAATTAATGGTGAAACATAATGCTGATAAAAGCTTTAATTAATGTTTTGTCAGGCATGCAAGAAAAAAAATCTTTACAACAAAATTTCATACTCATTCAAAGAAAATAGGTAGAAAAAAGTAGATATACACTTTATGTAAATATCAAAGACCAGAAAAACCAGGCCTATACATTGTATGTGGAAGTAACTTTATGTTTTTCGGTATTCAACAATTATGAAATGGATTATTTTGCTGAGACCTTTAGAAATAAATGAGAAATATTCGAATGACATATCTGTTATATGATAAGAAACACCTGCTTTGTTTTAGTTGATTAAATTGTTTCACGTAACTTGATATAAATTCAAGGCTATTATATTATGGATGCCTTATACATGTATTATTTGAGAAGTGGAACCGATCTTATTTTTAACAAATGGATGCCATTTGTGTTGTCATACCTCATAATCTTTGAATTTTCTTTGAATTTTTTTTTTTAATTTCACAGAAAATTCTTTTGCAGCCAGTGATTATAATTATGATAATTTTTGTCAAAACTTATTATTATATACCATCTGAAATAAGCCATTGGGGAACATTCAGAGGTCTTTGTCTTTCATGAAAACAAAATAAAGCTAAAATAGCCTCATTTTGACAGTTACAGTGTGTGTATGTTTTGCTGTAAATAAAATACAAAAATCCAGAACAACTTGTCATATAAGTAAAATTTGATCTGTATGTTTGCAGGACCGTGCTCGTGCCAGAGAGCTTCATGAACAGTCAGGACTGAGGTTCGTGGAGGTATTTGTGGATACCCCACTGGATGTCTGTGAAGAGAGAGATGTTAAAGGCCTGTACAAGAAAGCTAGGGCTGGTATCATTAAAGGTAAATATTTGTATGCTTTTTATATGATAAAAGATATGACCAGATTTTATTACTTCCCTTGTATGAAATTTATCCGGTATGGATTACATCCCTTTGTGTGGTATGATTTAAAATACCAGATGATATTCCTTTCTGTGTTTGAATGTTTTCAACATAGATTACATCCCTTGTATATAAATATCATATGATTTTATTTCCCCTTATATAGAATTATGTAAATTACTCCTCAATGTGTATTTCTGTTATGTGAACTTAACAAAAGATGAGCTGGTTAAGCTTAAAGCAAGTAATAAAATTTCTGTTCTATTCGGATATTATTTTGATATTACATAACTGTGTAACTGTTATTTCAACTCATATAAAACATGTATATAATTCTAAGCAATTATACACTTATGTAGTAATATCATTTATCTTGTAAATTAAATAAAAGTTTTCATATACAAGCAACTGTTGTCAGGGTAAACACATTTAGAAATAAATTCTAATGTCTTGTCTTTAATGTCTTGTACAATATACATCCCTTACTGCATAGAAATAAAAAAAAATAATAAAATGAATCTAGTCGTAATCATGCACTTCTGTGAAACAATAAACAATCTCTCAGTCTATTTCTGCAATACTACAGTTATTATTTGTTAAACTTGTATAAAAACTTATGATGTTAATAATACTTTGATAGGTTTTACTGGTATTGACGCCGCCTACGAGAAGCCCGATAATCCTGAAGTGTCTGTAAAGGCAGGGAAGTTGAGCATTGATGAATGTGTGCAAGAAGTTGTGAGCCATCTAGTGGAGAAGGTATTTTATTTTGCATCCTTTGCATCCGTGATATTTTATTTAAGTTTTGTTTGAATGGAATTTTTCAAAGATTCGTTATATTTAGACTTTATTAGGTGAGATGTGGATAATTTTACAGACATTTACATTGTCTGCATTTGGCAATACCTAACTATAACATGTACATTTGTCAGTGGTTCTACTCAAGTGCCAGCTTGTGCCTTAAATGATTTGTGCGGCATCGAAGGTCTTCCTCCACTAGTAGAAGAAAAGTAGAGCTATTATGATCTCAGTCACTGCAGAGTCTTAGTTAATGTTGTGCAAAAACTTTTACAACAAAACTTTTATGTAATCCTTTATTCAAACATTTGAACATGAGACTTTAAATACTTGCTTATCATAACAAGGTGCTGTTGTTAGACAAGGTGCATAATTCTGAAATCAATATTTTTGGAGTTACACCCTCTTTAACTTAGAAATTTTAACAGATGAGGGTTTACACCTTGGCTGTTGTATAAATTTAGTGGTGAAAGTGTTAAAGACCTATTTGATATTGCAGTGAAAGGCTTTTCCAAAAGTAAAAATAATTTTGTTTCATTTTATGTAATTTAACAGGAGGTTGTACCATCTAGTGCTATCAACACTGTGAAGGAATTGTTTGTACCAGAGAACAGGCTGTCTGCCGTGAAGGCCGAGGCTGAGGCTCTACCAGGACTTGAAATTACCAAGGTTTGTCCACCTACCTTTATACTTACTAAATATTTTTGCTAGATAGGAGAGGAATCTTGTTTTTCCTTCAATTAGCACCCACCAACCTTGTAGAGGTTCATTTGTCTAAATACATTGTTTGTAGGGACTTGAGTTTAGGCACACATGTTTTTCACTTAAAATTTAGTTGTATGATAAATGCCTGTTGAGTTTCTATGATGAAGTTATGATGGTATATAATACAGGAATACTTTTTCTGTAACAGGTATATAGCCAAATACTTAATTAAATATTAAGAAAGAATAAAAACATAAATATTTATGTCTTATACTAAATATTAAACATTCGTATCTAATATTATGTTTTGTTTTTACAGCTGGACTTGCAGTGGACTCAAGTACTGTCAGAAGGGTGGGCATCGCCACTTGGCGGGTTTATGAGAGAAAGGGAATTCCTGCAATGTCAGCATTTTGGATGCCTCCTTGATGGTAATTGTTTGATTCATCTTCTGAAGATTTATTATGTATTCAAAACTTTAAATCAAGTTCTACTTTCTTGGTAGACAGTTTATTTAAAACTTACAACTCTATTGATTGATGGTGCTTGATTTACGACTTGTTGATTTCGTGCCTAGAAAGTTTTTAAATATTTGTGAGTAATTAATCTATAGAATGACAATCCAGTCGACTTTTATATCATTGTACTTGTACATTAAGTATAGACTGAACATTTTTTGTTTATTGTTTACAGGTGGTGTAACAAACCAATCTATCCCAATTGTGCTACCAGTCCACACCAATGATAAAGACCGGTTGAATGGTTGTTCGGCTTTCTGTCTACGATATGATAACAAGCCTGTAGCGATTATGAGAAACCCAGAGTTTTACGAGCATCGAAAGGAGGAACGTTGCAGTCGTCAGTTCGGGACAAGTAATACTGGACATCCTTATGTTAAGGTATATTTTTTATCCGTAATGAAATGGGTTATTGAACATACACACACCAACATGTCAACTCAAGACTTGACCGGGTTGTTCAAAACATTGGTTAGTGTTAACCAGTGGTTAAATTCATTATCCGCTGGTTAAATTTTGTCTGTTGGATAAATTCTGTTGCTCAAAACTTATCCAACGGATAAAATTCGTTATCCAGCGGTTAACTTTAACCAGATCTATGACCACCGGATAATGCCCTTAACCAGTGGTTAGTCATCATCATTAAAACTGTAAAAATCATTAAAACTTGTTTAAAACCAGATTTTTCTTAAAAATATATGTTTATTTTTCTTAACTAGAACATTTCATATAAAATGCATAGGATTAAATTGAAACATTTCTGAAAAAAGTGCTTTTAGAACATTTTTTCAATCTAAATTTGTTGTTGTTGTAGTTCAGAAAATTCAGTTAAACAGTCATAACTTTCTTATTCTTTAATAAAACATACAAGTGTCGGTACTCATTTTCTTAGTTAGAACATTTCTCATCTAATGGAAGTAATTTCAATTCAAAATTTGAAAAAAAAATTGTTTTTAATTTTTTTCTTATGTGTGTCTAAGGGAAAAATAAATCTATCAATACTTTAAGGCCTCTGATATACTTTTTGTTTAATTCCAAAAACAAGAAGGCACAAAACATGCAAAATTATTTTTTGGGAGCTTTTTGATTCTAATAAGTTTATTATTCATCAAAAAATCAGCCATTTTGTTTCCAGAATCACTAACCAACCCTGTTGCATTGTGGTACTTAACCAGTCGATAAACGTGCTATCCACTGGTTAGGTAGCCAGTGTACTATCCAACAGTCGAACAATGAAATTTTATCCACTGGATAACTGGCCATTGGTTAAGGATTTAACCAGTGGATAAGCTATCCATTGGCTAATTTTAACCAATGTTTTGAACAACCCGGTCCTGGTGATCTAAAAAAGAATTTGTTCAGTTTCTGATCAATAAATGTGTTTTAGATGATGGCCTTTCAGTTAAGAAATTTAAGAATTTTATTCAGAAACCTTTTATTTTATGCTAAAAAGTAATCTTCCATTTTTCACAAACATTAACATGTTGAATTAATGCTCATAAAAACAGAATTAGTTTCTTTCATTGCTTCAAACTTTTATAATCAGTGTAATGGCCTTTATATTTAGTAAACATATGTCACGAAGTAACATTTTGTCTTTGTTGTACAGATGATATTTGAGAGTGGAGACTGGTTAGCTGGAGGAGAACTCGAAGTACTTGAGAGGATTAAATGGAATGACGGTCTTGACGAGTATCGTCTCACGCCAAAGGAACTTCGGCAAAGATTTAGGAATATACGAGCTGACGCAGTATTTGCATTCCAGTTACGTAATCCTATTCACAATGGTCACGCCTTGCTGATGGCAGACACAAAACGTAGGCTTCTTGAAAGGGGATACAAGAATCCAGTACTTCTTTTACATCCTCTAGGTAAGCTTTCTTAAACTCAACATAAATACAAAATAATTCAGATTTTTTCAGCTAAGCCTATATAAAATTTTAAAGAATGAACTCTCACTATAATTTATTTTAGCTGTTATTATTGTAAAACTAACTCTTGGATCTGAAAATCTTTTTTGCTTGTTTACCTATCCAGAGTTTAATTAGTTCATTTCATGTACCTATATTCCATTTGAGGTTTGTGTTTTAGATTAATTTTTCCTATGTAACATTATAGGTGGTTGGACAAAGGATGATGACGTCCCTCTTCCACACAGAATGAAGCAACACAAGGCCATTCTAGATGAAGGTGTATTAGACCCTAAAACCACAGTGCTAGCAATTTTCCCATCCCCTATGATGTATGCGGGACCAACAGAAGTACAGTGGCACGCTAAAGCCAGAATGTCAACAGGGGCCAATTTCTACATTGTTGGGCGGGATCCAGCTGGTATGCCTCATCCAGAGGGCGGCAAAGATCTGTACGAACATTCACATGGCTCCAAGGTAATTACGCTTTTTCTTTGAACTTCACATATAGTATCATCTGAATATAGGGAATATTCAATGTAGAAAATTGTTATTATGTCTATCTGAATTTGATAACTTATATTATAAAAGGAGAGGAATATTAAGTAATTTATTCTTTTCTGCTCTTAAACTTTTAGTTTCAAAAGATTACGAATTAAACCAGATTCTTTTTACTTCCATTATTTTAAAATTAGTTTCAATTCCTTTCATTCAACTTTTTTTGATACTCTGACAAATTTTCCACTATTGTAAATTTCATTTTAAATCAAGAACTTTTTTTTATTTATACAGGTTCTCACAATGGCCCCAGGTCTCACTCAGCTAGAAATCGTCCCATTCAGAGTTGCAGCATACAACACCAAACTTCACAAGATGGACTTCTACAATCCAGAAAAGAAGGAAGACTTCGATTTCATCTCCGGCACACGTATGCGAAAACTCGCTCGTGAAGGTCAAGATCCACCAGATGGTTTCATGGCACCAAAAGCTTGGAAAGTGCTACAGGACTACTACAAGTCCATCAGTCAATGATAGACATACCAAATACTTGAAAGAAATGGAACAATTTACACCAAATCTTAAGTTATTATATATATGTATCTATACAGTGGGGTTTTATTTTACTATGCAACAGGGTCCATATACTTACATATAGCATACAAGCTACTTAATCTATTCGGGGTATATTAAAGTACTGTTTATGTACATGTGGAAATTTGCTAGCAATCTATTCGGGGTATATTAAAGTACTGTTTATGTACATGTTGAAATTTGCTAGCAATCTATTCGGGGTATATTAAAGTACTGTTTATGTACATGTTGAAATTTGCTAGCAATCTATTCAGGGTATATTAAAGTACTGTTTATGTACATGTTGAAATTTGCTAGCAATCTATTCCGGGTATATTAAAGTACTGTTTATGTACATGTTGAAATTTGCTAGCAAGAAATTTGTCCAATATGCCAGGTATTATTTAATTGACCACTGTGATTTTTACTGGTCATTGTAGCTGGAAATTTATGTTAAAGCCGGGAGGTTGTTTTTATTTTGTTCTGAAATTGTTACATGGCTTCAGAATGGTTGTTAAGTGTTTTCTTGCTTGCATTTTTCAATAGGTTTCATACATATACAAAGTACCGTACATGATTTTTCTTCAAATTGAAAGCTTTTCTATATTGTATAATTTATTAAAAAAATTACTTTTTTTTAATTTCTTTGGTTACATAAGTGGTTAAAATAACCAGTTCAAAATTAGTTTGAATCATAGTCTTTTTGTAAACTGTACTGACATTTTTGGTGCAATATCCATACATAATTGCTTATAACACAAAACCGATCAAATGTTATCTTTTTTTCTTAACAAGAAATTTAAATTTTCCTTTATCAAACAAAATGCATTAAGTGCTTTTTGGTGGACCAATTACTAAAATAGTTATGTAAAAGAAAATATTTAGACTTATTGCAAATGTTGACATATTTAAAAAGTATTTTATATTTTACACTATCTGTTACAAAATGAAATTATGAAATTTTATTATTGTTTTTTTTCATAGAAACCAAAAAATGATCATGTATATTTTTATGGAGTTACAGATCAAATAATTTATATATTTATTGTATTCAGATGCAATGTGTCTCAACCAGTCATCTGTGGGGAAAAAATAAAGACTAGAAAACAATTTAATTTTTGTGTTGTATTTCATCAACTTAAAGATGTTATCCTGAACATAGCAAATGTGGGTATTTCCCATTTATCTGGGGATACAAATAAACTTTTACTGTAATAGCTTTACAGTGATCTACTACTGTTCACAATAAAGTGACCTATATAATTATGTTGTATATCGATATCTATATATCAAGTCATCTCTATAAAAGTTTGTATGTATCCTAGGATAAGCTGGAAAACCCCACATTTGCAGAGTTCAGAAGTACATTTTTTTTCATGTAATAGAAAAAACAACAACAGAGGTATGACAGGTATTATGCAATAATGAAAATGTACCACATTGATATGATCAAGAGGTCAACAATCGTATATGTCCTATCAAATTTTTGTATATACCAACATGATGTAAGTAATATGGCAATCTATGTGCAAAAGCAAAAAACTTGAGAAGTTCTCATAGAAAAAGTCTATTCTGACCAAAGACTGTATGGATTCCTATATTTTGGTCAACAACCTGTATCTACTTCTGGTTCTTTTATTACACAGGTCCTTAAACATTAAAAGTGCCTTAACGACCATGCAATATTTCCTCTGTAATTTCATTGAAATTGAGGCAAGATGGTTTCGGTGAATTAAAATGCTCTTTGCAAACAAATACAGAATTAATGACTGTTTTGATTACAATTCACAGGGATTCCTTTTAAAAACAAAATTTACTACATTTACTAAAATTCTGTAATAAAATAAATGGGAAAAAAAAATATAAAAGTGAAAAATATTTATTTTTGAATGATTTGAAAAACAGTACAGAGGAAATACCTTATATTTTGCTGATTCAAGGAATAAACAAAGTTTGATATACACATTTAAAAAGAGATAATTAAACATATCTTTTAAAATTTTCTCCATCCATCATGATTTCCTGGCATTTATTTTTTTAGATACTTCAATGAAAACCAATTGAATATTTATTTAGACATTTTTCTTTACACAAACAATTTTTGCATGCATTGAACATCACTGAATTCCATATAAATCGTGATATATTCAGAATCATTCTTTGATCAAGAAACTATTTCATTTGATAATAAAAATATAATGAAAATAAATGATGTATCTGAACCCCTTGTCAGCAAAAATAACTTCCCCATAACACCAGTATAGTACATGTCAGTCAAGTGTGACTACTTAACCCATAACATGCTTGAACTGAAATTTTTAGTGTCTGGCCTTTGCCACCAGTATAGAGCCAGGCCAGCCTGAACATCAATGCAGTCTTACCTGAGCCCCTATACAGTTGACAATATACAGCTGTTATATCAATTTATATATTTTGTTACTGAAATTCCTTAAATACATAATAGACTGTTCCAACTTCACAATGGACTGTTCCAATTTCACATTGAACTGTTTCAAATTCCAGTTTCAACTTCACAATAGACTATTCCAACTTCACAATGGACTGTTCCCAATTTCACAATGGTCTGTTCCAAAATTCACCCGTTCCAACTTCACAATGGACTGTTCCAATTTCACAATGGTCTGTTCCAAAATTCACAGTTCCAACTTCACAATGGACTGTTCCAATTTCACAATGAACTGTTACAAATTCCACAGTTCCAACTTCAAAATGGACTGTCCAATTTCACAATGGACTGTTCCCAATTTCACAATGGACTGTTCCAAAATTCACAGTTCTGACTTCACAATGGACTGTTCCACTTTTACAATGAACTGTTCTAAATTTCACAGTTCCGACTTCATAATGGACTGTTCCAATTTCACAATGAACTGTTCCAAATTTCACTGTTCCAACTTCACAATGAACTGTTCCAAATTCAGAGCAGAGCAAATCCATTACATACATTCAACAGGTTAAACTGATTGCTGCTTAATTTTTAATTTTTGACCTCTAAATCTCTCTTATTAATAAGAAAAGCTGCAAGTTCATTATACAAGTTATGCAAACAAATTACTAAAAAAAGTTTAGCTTATATTCTTTGTCGAGAAAAAGATGTGTTGTTTTGGTTAAATTTTCAAAATATAGGTATTCAGAAAAAGAAACTACCAAAAATCTTTTAATGATTTCATTTTTAACCGGATTATTATTTTCTTTAATGTTACTCAGAAAAAAGAACTTTCAAAAAACTTTATAACTTATATTGTTCTCAATAAAGAGATAAAAGTTATTGTTTTAGAACATTTTCAGAATTAGAATTTTATCAATTTCTTAGGAAAAGTAATGTAAAATCAACCAAAAATAAAAATGATGAGATAATAATTTTTGGAAATCAAATAAACATGAATTGTCTGAAGAAGATATGGACTCAAATATTCTATATAATAAACTTTCAAGTCGACCTGAGAAATCTTCAGGCACTCACATCAAATAAAATATTTCAAATAATTCAAAAGATACACATTTATGCAACAGAATTATGGTAACAAGATATGTTTGTAAAACATGTATGCCCCCTATCAGCAGCCAATTAGTCATGTGATAAGGTTATTATGCATGACTTCTGACCCAGTGATCAAACAATTAATAAGGGTTATCAAGTATCTACTGGTCATGACCTTAACCTTTGACCCCTTGACCCAAAACTCAATAGGGGTCATCTGCTGGTCACGACCAATCATCATACAAAGTTTGAAGTTCCTAGGCCTAAGCGTTTTTAGTTAATTGATCAGAAACCGTTTTTACCTACAAGGTCAATGTGACCTTGACCTTTGACCCCTTGACCCAAAAATCAATAGGTCATCTGCTGGTCATGACCAATCACCATACCAAGTTTGAAGTTCCTAGGCCTAAGGGTTCTTTAGTTATTGATCGGAAACCGTTTTAACATACAAGGTCAATGTGACCTTGACCTTTGACCCCAAAATCAATAGGGGTCATCTGCTGCTCATGACCAATCACCATGCCAAGTTTGAAGTTCCTAGGCCAAAGCGTTCTTTATTTATTGATCGGAAACCGTTTTTACTTACAATGTCAATGTGACCTTGACCTTTGACCCCAAAATCAATAGGGGTAATCTGCTGGTCATGACAAATCACTATTCTTAAGTTATTGATCAGAAACCGTTTTTACTTACAAGGTCAATGTGACCTTGACCTTTGACCCCTTGACCCAAAACTCAATAGGGGTCATCTGCTGGTCACGACCAATCATCATACAAAGTTTGAAGTTCCTAGGCCTAAGTGTTTTTAGTTAATTGATCGGAAACCGTTTTTACCTACAAGGTCAATGTGACCTTGACCTTTGACCCCTTGACCCCAAAATCAATAGGTCATCTGCTGGTCATGACCAATCACCATACCAAGTTTGAAGTTCCTAGGCCTAAGGGTTCTTAAGTTATTGATTGGAAAGCATTTTTATCTACAAGGTCAATGTGACCTTGCCCTTTGACCCCTTAACCCCAATATCAATAGGGGGTCATCTGCTGGTCATGACCAATCACCATACCAAGTTTGAAGTTCCTAGGCCTAAGGGTTCTTTAGTTATTGATCGGAAACCGTTTTTACCTAAGAGGTCAATGTGACCTTGACCTTTGACCCTTGACCCCAAAATCAATAGGGTCATCTACTGATCATGACCAATCACCATATCAAGTTTGAAGTCCCTAGGCCTAAGGGTTCTTTCGTTATTGATCGGAAACCGTTTTTACCTACAAGGTCAATGTGACCTTGACCTTTGACCCCTTAACCCCAAAATCAATAGGGGTCATCTGCTGGTCATGACCAATCACCATACCAAGTTTGAAGTTCCTAGGCCTAAGGGTTCTTTTGTTATTGATCAGAAACCATTTTTACCCAAGAGGTCAATGTGACCTTGACCTTTGACCCCTTGACCCCAAAATCAATAGGGGTCATCTACTGATCATGACCAATCACCATACCAAGTTTGAAGTTCCTAGGCCTTAAAGTTCTTTAGTTATTGATCGGAAACCGTTTTTCCTTACAAGGTCAATGTGACCTTGACCTTTGACCCCTTGACCCCAAAATCAATAGGGGTCAATCTACTGATCATGACCAATCACCATACCAAGTTTGAAGTTCCTAGGCCTTAAGGTTCTTTAGTTATTGATCGGAAACCGTTTTTGCTTACAAGGTCAATGTGACCTTTGACCCCTTGACCCCAAAATCAATAGGGGTCATCTACTGGTCATGACCAATCACCATACCAAGTTTGAAGTTCCTAGGCCTAAGGGTTCTTTAGTTATCACTCGGAAACCATTTGGTCTACGGACCGACGGACCGACAAGTGCAAAGCAATATACCCCCTTTTCTTTGAAATGGGGGCATAACAAAATAATTGATTATAGCTTATCAAAGAACTTGCATGTATTAACTTTACAATAAAGTATAACAATGTAACATACAGCCTTAAACTGAACACTAATACTTTGTTTATACTACATGTATGAAGTCTTTTCCAATTAAAAATCATCTTAAGAATACAGAACAAGAAATGTCTGCATAGGACACAGATGCCCCCCACACCACACTGTTTTGTCAGTCTACTGACGTACAGCAGGACAGTATGACACAGGGCAGACAAAGGAAATCCTCTACATGACTCCCCCTATCCCCTTGTGGTTGGGGCATAAAAACAACATCCAATGTTTACATCTTGATTTTTCATAATATTTAGTATTTCAAATCTCAATTTTATATTGTAAAGTATGCTTAAAAGACACAAAAAACAAGCAAAGCCCCAGATGCACGACTACACATACTGACCAATTGTCCTGTAAAGTTTCACGACTCTTTGTCAAAGATTTTTTTAGTTATGCAATAAACAATTTGAAAAATTACCAAGTCAAGGCAATAACTCTACAAATACTAAATAAATCAACAAGCTAACCCCAAGTGAATACACATGCTGACCAATTCCTGTAAATTTTCATGACTCCAGGTGAAATACTTTTTTGGGCTACACACGACACAAATTGACAATTGCATATTGATACCAAGTCAAGGGCAATAACTCTGGAAAAACAACTTCACATGCTTATCAAATTCCTGTAAAGTCCAAGTGAATACACATGCTGACCAATTCCTGTAAATTTTCGTGACTCCCCGTGAAATACTTTTTTTGGGCTACGCACGACACAAATTGACAATTTCAAACTGATACCAAGTCAAGGCAATAACTCTTGAAAAACAACTTCACATGCTTATCAAATTCCTGTAAAGTTTGTTGATTCTTGCTCAAGCACATTCAGAGGTACACATCACACATATTGGAACTATTTTTGTTAAGTCAAGGGCAATTACTCTACAAATTTTGAATAAATATACAAACAAAACCACCAGATGCATAACTACACATGCTGACCAATATTCCTGTAAAGTTTAATGGTTGTAAGTCCAATACTTTTTGGGCTATGTGCGACACAATTTAAAAATTGCGAAATATTTACCAAATCAAGGGCAATAAATCAACAAATACTGAATAAATGCACAAACAAACCCCCTAGGTGCACATGCCAACCAACATTCCTGTAAAGTTTTATTACTCCAGGTCAAAATAAATACTTTTTGGACGCTGCACGATGCAAATGTCAAATTAAGTCAAGGGCAATAACTCTGACAAATCTATATTTATACACACATAAAACCTTTGGTGCACAACTTCACATTCTGATCAAGATTCTGTAAAGTTTGTTGATTATTAGAGCTACATATGATAAAACATAGGAATGCACTCATAGGCGTACAGACAAGGGCAAATCTAACACCCTCAAGACAAGTGGGGGCATAATAATATCAGTACAATTTAAATTTAAATAACAAACAAAATAATCCAGTGTTTTTATAAGAAAAGACAAAAATGTTTGAACCATTATCTTATTATCTTCATTGGAATATATTCAAATGTATTCAAATGAGCTCAAGATGAACTTTTTAATATTAACAAGAACTGTCGGAGGACAGTAACACTCGACTATTCGAAAAAGTTGTCACAAGGGTGTTTTATTGAGTATATTAATGCATACCTATGAATACATAAAATTGTCCAAAAAGGTACAAAGGGTTGTTATTAAGATGTTTTATCAAGTAAATCACTGCTTTATTATTATGAATGCATAAAATTGTCCAAAAAAAGGCACAAACCCTTCAGTAGTTATGGAGATAACAGCTTACAAGCAAAAACTTAGCCATGAATTTCGAAGTTGAAAAAGGGGAGAAAAATCAGCCTAAATGCAAGATAGAAATATGGATCTTGGTTAGTGACCTACAATTATCACCCTAAATGCATATGTGAAGTTTTAAATAAATATCTTTGATAGTTATTGAGATATGTAAAATTGCATGTAAACATTAACCAAGAGACTAAGTAGAAAAGGGGAGATAAATCAGCCTAAATGCAAGATAGAATTATGGAACTTGGTCAGTGACATACAATTATGACCCTTCATGCATATGTGAAGTTTAAAATCAAAATCTCTGATAGTTATTGACATATGTAAAACTTACATGTAAACATTGACCAAGAATACCTTCAGTGGTTAATGAGATATTAAAAGTCACACAAAACATTAACCAAGTGGTAGGCTTAGGCTGGAGTAAGCAAGATAGACCCACTTAATTCTTCAAATGGTCTAGATAAAAATAATAATTCCTGCCAAAGGCAGTAAAAAAAGAAATTAAAAAATCTCATGTGTCATCTAAATTTCGCCTTCTTCCAATTCTGTGGACCGAGTCGAAGCACTCATTGACAAGCCACATAAAGCTGGTTGCCTTTTCAGGACAGTTGATTCATTTTGTTTCATACAGTTTTTATCAAATTCTTTGGCACCTTTTGAGGAAGAGCCTAAAATCTTTTTCTTGCAGTTTTCTAAAAATTTCTTATCCTCTAACACTTCCTTTTGTATTTCTTCTGAGCTTTTCCGTCTTGTTTTAATAGGTAATTGATAAGAAAATTCCTTTTCTGATAAATTTATTCCTTTGCTATGACTAGTACCTAATCTATCTGTTTGTAAAGGTTTTTCAAATTCTGATTTGCAGAAGCTTGTTTCAATGCACAGTTTGGTATCTTTATCAAAAGAACTAAAAGACTGTTGTTTAGGTTTTCCGAATATTTCATGATATTCCTTTGCAATGTCTCCATCACTGAGAGAGTCTTCATTGCCAATATTTTGAATTGTCACTGTCTCAGGTATTCTGGTCTTTTCGTGTGATTTACCTGAGAATTCTGACTTAAAAAAGTCTTTTGTTTTATAAATTTTTTTAAAAGATTCAACAGCAGTGTTATCACCTTCAGTTTTATGCCTTCTCCTTTCTTCATTATCAATACTGTGATGCCTTTTTGTAGTTTCTGACCTGTATGAATAGTCTCTGTAGGAGGTGCTCTCCTTACTTGTATGATGTCTATGCCTATGTTTCTGATTACTGCCATTTGTTTCTTTAGAATGGCTTCTTTTTCTACTTCTGTCTCGACTTCTTGATCTATCACTTTCCTTTGATTTCTCTTTACTTATACTTCTATTTGATGAAGTCTGGTTATAATGTTTTCTTTCCTCTTGTCTGTTATAACTGTATGAATGATGTGACACTCTGCTTTCTACAGAAGACCTAGAAGAAGACCTTTCCCTCTTTCGATATAATCTATATGGTTTCTTTTTATCTTTACTATCTTTTGGTACAGATATTTTTTCATGAAAAGACTTATCCAGCAGTGTGTCAATTTCACCATCTTCATAACTTGATATGTCAGAAAAATTTGCACTCACTATGTTGTTATTTCCAACTTTTCTAACCCTACCTTGAGAAGCATTTTTCTGGTTGTCTTTTTCAGATTTAGAATCATATTTTACTATGGCGCTTTTGTGTCTTTGTGATGTTTTGGACCTCTCACTTTCAAATACTTGTCCCTTGTCATCCTTTTTTATTTCTCCCTCTTCAGAATCGGAGTCTATCACAATTGGATCAATGTCTGGATTTCTTCCTAATGGTAACATTTTAACTTGCTCAGTTTTATTTTCTTCAATTTTACCTTTTGTGTTGTCGAACCCAGTTTGGGTTTTTACTGACTGCTTACTTGTTACTGCATTTGGGGCTCTGTCCTCCTTTGATTTTGTCTCTGATTTAATCATGGATGTTTTTAATTGAATTGGTTTTACTATTCCAACTGAAGGCTTATTTTCTTTCGATGTTTGCTTTTCAAGCAATGGCTTAACAACACCTACATTTATCCTCTTGTCGAATTTTTGTTCATTTGCTAAGAAACTTTTCTGTAGATCAATACAGTGCAATACAGAATTTCTGTCAACAGATTTTACACATCTTGATGTATCTGCTTCCTTTTGAGGTGTAATCAAAACCGGTATAGCTTTAGTTGCTACAGTTTCTGTTTTGTTAATAATGTTAACAAACGCGGTATTCAACGCCTTGTCCTGATTAGTTTCAACATTTTTGGCATCAGTATCTTGGCTTTTTACACTAGATTGACTTTTGTTATCGTGAACAATTTGATCACTCAAAGTTTCCTTTGCAATTTGCAATGTATCAACCAGAGACTTTGCTGCTTCACCTATCAGTATAATCTGAGAATCAACTGGAGACAATCTTTTCATCCTTGGATCTTTCTCATTTACTAAAGTTGCAAGACTTCCATCATTACTGCATTGAGCATCCCAATCAAGATGGAGAATTCTTTTAACCTTCTTTTCTCCATACAGTTCTACAGCAAAAGATGGTAAAGGTAATTTAATTTGACGTTTATTGTTCTCAAAAAATATATTAACCCTTGGATCTTTAGGGCGTTCTTGTCCATGTTTGCGAACAGTTGTTTTAGGTATGTGTCTGGGCTCGACCCCTCCTTTCAACAATGTCCTACCTTCAAAAAGATCTGTTTCCTGTTGACAGGACATACTTTTCTCACTTTGCACACTCTCCTGATCAGAATGACTTACATCAGGTTGAGAGGATTGGGCCTCCACTTCCGGAAGGAAAATATTCTTTGTCAACTTCATTTCACTCTCTTTCTGCAGCAATTTCAATAAAGATTTTAGTTTACTGCTATCTTCTTCAGTTTTCACAAGTGCAGAGCACTGTTCAACCAACAAAGCAAAGAGTTCATCATATTTTTCATTTGTCTGGTTGTCACCAGTTTGATCCGGATTATTTGTATTACTGCTATTTGTTCTTTCTGTGTAAAATCCAAACAATGAAGATTCTCCACTTTCAGAGGCAGAGGCTACCTGGCATCCACTTCTGGCTTTAGCGGCAAGGGCTTCTAAATTTAAACCAATCTGGTCATGCAAAGCAGCCTGGAATACTGACACTACCTGTTGATCACCACTTTGCAATGCCGCAATAAGATTTGCCATACCTGTATCCAACTCTTCATCACCAGTCTGTACACCTGAAAACCCTGCCATAGCCATTCCTTCATGACCTTCAAAGTTACCATGCTGGACTTGATATTCATCTGGAAGTCTTTCATCACCTGGGGAATTGTCATAAACAGTACCATGGAAAACATCAGCTTCATTAAATACAATGGGTGCTACAGGATTAAAACTGCTTTCAACTGAAGGTATATCTTCTGCTGTTTCATTGAACTGAAAGTCATGCTTTTCTCTATTATTAGATATAGTTTCATCTTTTATTACTTTTACAGCCTTTTGTTTTTCTGTTGGCACAGGAGGTAGCAATTCATCTAAAGGAAAACTAAATGTAGGTTTTATTTTCAATGTCTTTACTTTTGCTGGTCCTTTTTTTGATTGGGAAACCAAACTACTTTTCAACTGATCTTTGTTTATCTTTTGTGCTACTTTTATACCTTTTGTTTCTATTTTTGGCTCACTTTTCTTACTTTGAACCTTTTCCTGATCACATTTTGGTGATGCATCAATTTCTGTAGAACTAGCTGTAATATGTTTCTCCTTTTTGTGAGATTTAGCCTCTGTCAAGATTGTGGGTGACACTTTTTCTAAACTGGCAGACAGCATTTTGCTATTTTCATGATCATACATGTCACTTAACTCTTCTGAACAAGTGTCTGCATGCACAGCTGGAGTTTGAGCATTAGCTTCTTTTCTTAAGTCAAATTCAATTTCATTGTCATTATCTATTTCAATATTCTGGTTGTTTCTTGAAATTTCTTTTGGAACAGTATCATTGCCTCCTGTTTCTTTAACATCTGCTATCAAAGAGTGCTGTGTTTCTTGTTGAACGGTGTCTTTTGTTTCTCTTTCAATTCTTAGGCATTTTTCCATTCCATCTATATATTTGACATTGTCATTTCTATGTCCAATATTGTCATCTCTAAGAATATCTTGTTTGGTATTTGATGCAGTCTTTTGAGCAATAGAAATGGATAGTTCATCTTTAGCTTTTATGTCAATGTTGTTGTCAAGCAATGCGTTTTGCCCATCATCCTTTTCAACATGAGATGTATCAATTTCACTGCAATTATTATTAACTTCTTCACCTGCATCTGGTATGGATTCATCCACATTATGAACTGATTTCAAGGTTGTTACCTTCTCCGTAACAGGCCCAGAAAATTCAGTTACAGCATCATTTTTAAACGAGTATGCATTTCCTAAATCATTGTAATGTATCTTGTTTTCAGGGTCTATATCAATTTGTGTCTCAACAAATTTGTTATCTTTTTTAACTGCAACATTCACATTCTCATCAAATAAATCAAATTCATTTTCATTCCGTTCCACAATAAGATCATCATTGACTGCCAAGTTTTTATTATATTGATCAATGCTATTTTTCAAATACTCCAAAGGCAAACTATTATTAGTCTGTGGAACATTATCAGAAAGAGAAACTTGATTTTCATGGTTGCCACTCAGGTTTCTGCAATTCTGTAGAACTTTTTGGAAATGTTCCATCCAATCTGCAGGCATATCAAGAACTTCATCATCACTTTCTTCTGTATCTTCTTCCTCAATATTTTGAGTTATTTTGTTTTTAAAATTAGCAATAAATGACAGGGGTGGTGTGTCAGAATAACTAAAAGTACTGAATGACCTTTTTGGAAATAAGCTATCATCAGAGAAGTCTGTTTCACTCTCAGCACTGTCCACAGCAACAGCCTTGTTACGACTAAACCTTTCACTCAAAGAAATCATCTTTGCTTTCCTGAAGAAAATAATGCAACAAGATTTTAATAAATTTACACAGAAATAAGAGGACTGCTTAAAAGTATTAAGTAAATCATAACAGAAAAACTTTAAAGTCATCTAAAATAATTATTTCAGCTAAAGAAGTCAATGGATTTATAGAAATTGCAAAAACTAGTTGCATATGTTTGATACAAAAATGCTAAACAAAAAAATCTTAAGCTGCGGTCTCACTTACTCCCGGCAGAGCCCAGGACCATCCCGGTAAGTTACTGGGATGATCCGGGGTGAAATTATTGTTGCTGTCACACTTACCCTGGCAGCACTACGGTAATTCCCAACTAACCACCCAGAATGTGCTCCTGACCATCCAGGCAGAGCCCAGGTGAAGCTACGGTTTATGCTGGTGCTTCCCCAGTCATTCCCGGATGACGCCGGAAGAACCCTAGTTGACTCAGGCAGAGCCCCGGTCGATCCAGACAGAGCCCTGGCAGAGCCCAGGACAATCCAGGCAGAGTCCCGGTAGAACCCCGGTGGATTGATGAAAAAAATTTTATAACTCAAATATTTTAAATATCTGGCAAAAATTCAGAAGGGGTTTTCTAAATTTCCCCCCCGAAATTTTTAAAAGGGGGGATTAAAAAAGTGAAAAAATTGCAAAAAGTCGTGATTCTTTTTAAATGAACCCGGGTTTTCCGGGCTCTACCGGGGGTCAAACCCTAGCTCCATCCAAACTTCGGGGCTCTGCCGGCATTCACCGGGGCTCTGCCAGCATTCACCGGGGCTCTACCCTAGCACTACCGGCTATATTATGCCCCGGATCATCCCCGGTTTGTGCCGGCAGAGCTACGGTGCTTCCCAGGTGTAACCCCGGTCATTCCAGGCAGAGCTAAGGATGAAGCCGGCAAAGCTATACTTCCCGGATCATCCAGGACCACCCCCTTGATATTTAAATATTCAATTCCATCCGGGGTCGAATGCCGGATGTTCCTAGATCATCCTGGACGTTGCCGGCAGAGTTACAGATGTACTCCGGTTGTTCCCAGATCACCCCAGACGTCTACCAGGGCTCTGCCGGGATGTTAGTGAGACTGTAGCTTTAATATTTGTAATTGTGCAGTAAATGACAAATGTCACAAAAAATTGATAGCCATTTTTATTTTGGTATGTATGTATTATTATTATATATGAACTAATAGCCATTTTTATTTTGGTATGTATGTATTATCATTATATATGAACTAGAACTCCCCTAGTCAGATGTGACGCCTTGTGAACAGTATAGTTATCACTTAGGCATTTTCTTCTTAAATATAGGTTATTTATAAACACTGCTAAAGGGCAATAACTCAAAAAAATAAGAAGTGCAGAGTACCGGTTCTTAAGCACTGCACTTCTGCTTAATGAGATCTATCATCCTATTAAGTTTCAAGTCAATAGCTTTTATAATTTATGAGAAATGGCCCAGACAAAAATAAAGTATGAAAATTAACAAAGGGTAATAACTCAAAAAATTAGAAGTACAGAGTACCGGATCTTGTGCACCGCACTTCTTCTTAATGAGATCTATCATCCTATGAAGTTTCAAGTCCATAGCTTTTATAGTTTAGGATAAATGGCCACGAGTAGCAGTTTAGGCCACAGTGCAAAGTACCGGTTCTTGTGCACTGCACTTTACGTCATTGAAAAAGCATGCATATTAAGTTTGGAGTCAATCAGACTTATAGTGACTGAGTTATGCTATTGACAAGCCTTAGGGGACGCTGATGCCGACAACAACGTCGACGACAAAATGTAACCCCTATATGTCGCCTTTTCAAGGTGACACAATAATCAGCACTTGCATGAATAACTTGATAAACAAGACTGCATTTGTGAAAAATGCTATGCCATTGCATTAATATGTACAACACTAAAAATTAATAGTAGTGTAGGAACAGATTTTTTTTTCTATACAATTGAACTTTGCCTGCATAATGCAGTTGAATCTAGTGAATTTGGTGGTCAAAGTCATATTTCACACAGCCTAAATTTCATGACTGTACATCATAGGATACGACAGTTAGTCACTTTGTCAAAATCTAGGTCAGCTGATATCAGAGTTCATTTTGCATCTTAATCTATTTACTAGCTGTACATCAAAGGACAAGAAAGTAAGTCAATCATCAAAATCCAGGTAGGTGATATCAAAGTTCAATTTTACATATAAAACTACATGTACATGGTCCAAATTCTATAGCTGTACATCAAAGCACAAGAAAGTAGGTCACATGTCAAAAGGTCAGCTGATATTAAAATTCAAATTTTACATCTCAAACTGTGTACATGGTCCAAATTTCATGGCTGTACATCAAAGGACAAGAAAGTAGGTCACTATCCCCTTGGGCAGGGAAAAATTTCGACCCAAGGGTTTTTTTAATTCAAACTAGAACTGCCACTATCATGGGGTGAATACCCCCGCATACCACTTTGTCAGAATCAACAGTGGCCATATAGAGCTCAAGGACAACCTCCATGTCAAATCTGAGGTTACTAAGCCAGTAAATTGCTAAGTTATGTATTCTACATGCTTCAAATGTGAAAATGTCAAAAACAATACACTGCAGACAGGCATTCTTAAGCTATTGAGGGGAAAAGCTTTGTTTTGTCAAGGTCCCTGTGACCTTGACCTTTGACCCAGTGATCTCAAAATCAATAGGGGTCACCTTATGGTCATGATCAACATCTGTGCCAAATACGAAGACTGTGAGTCAAAGGTTTCTTAAGTTAATGGGTGGACAAACTTTTTTAGTCAAGGCTCCTGTGACCTTGACCTTTGACCCAGTGACCTAAAAATCAATAGGGGTCACCTATTAATCATGACTAACCTCCATGCCAAATATGAAGACTGTGAGTCAAAGGAATCTTAAGTTATTGGGCAGACAAACTTTTTGAAGTCAAAGTCCCTGTGACCTTAACCTTTGAATCCAGTGACCTCAAAATCAAAAGGGGTCATCTACTAATCATGACTAACCTCCATGCCAAATATGAAGACTGTAGGTCAAAGGAATCTTAAGTTAATGGGCAGACAAGCTTTTTATAGTCAAGGCCCCTGTGACCTTGACCTTTGACCTGGTGACCTCAAAGTCAATAGGGGTCATCTACTAATCATGACTAACCTCCATGCCAAATATGAAGACTGTGGGTCAAAGGAATCTAAAGTTATTGGGCGGACAAGCTTTTTGAAGTCAAGGCCCCTGTGACCTTGACCTTTGACCTGGTGACCTCAAAATCAATAGGGGTCATCTACTAATCATGACTAACCTCCATGCCAAATATGAAGACTGTAGGTCAAAGGCATCTTAAGTTATTGGGCGGACAAGCTTTTTGAAGTCAAGGCCTCTGTGACCTTGACCTTTGACCTCAAAGTCAATAGGGGTCTTCTACTAATCATGACTAACCTCAATGTCAAATATGAAGACTATGGGTCAAAGCAATCTTAAGTTATTGGGCGGACAAGCTTTTTGAAGTCAATGCCCCCGTGACCTTGACCTGGTGACCTCAAAATCAATAGGGCTCATCTACTAATCATGACTAACCTCCATGCCAAATATGAAAACTGTAGGTCAAAGGCATCTTAAGTAATTGGACGGACAAGCTTTTTGAAGTCAAGGTCCCTGTGACCTTGACCTTTGATATTGTGACCTCAAAATCAATAGGGGTCATCTACTAATCATGACTAACCTCCATGCCAAATATGAAGACTGAAGGTCAAAGGCATCTTAAGTTATTGGGCGGACAAGCTTTTTGAAGTCAAGGTCCCTGTGACCTTGACCTTTGACCTGGTGACCTCAAAATCAATAGGGGTCATCTACTAATCATGACTAATCTCCATGCTAAATATGAAGACTGTTGGTCAAAGGAATCTTAAGTTATTGGTCGGACAAGAAAAAAACCGCCGGACGGCCGGACGGACAAGCTGATTCCAGTATACCCCCTTACAACTTTGCTGTACGGGGGTATAACAATCTTGATACAGGTCCACCAGACAATGTTTCATGTCAAATATCTAAGCTGTAGCTTTCTCCTATTCAGGAAACGTTTAAGTTCTGCTCTACTTTATGTACATAACGAAAATCAATGACCCCCTGGTTGAGACAAATTTTGACCCCAGGGCTATTATTTGAACAATCTTGGAAGACTTTAAGGTCAAGTACACAATGTTCCATGCGAAAAAATCTAACCTCTAGCCTTTGAAAATTCAGAGAAGAAGATTTATAGAATTTAAATGTATAAGGAAAAACCTTTGACCCCCTGGGCAGGGCCAATTTTGACACCAGGGGCAAAAGATGAGCAATTTTGGTAGAGGACCTAAAGATGATATTATATACCAAATATTAAAGCTCTAAGCCTTGTACCTTCAGACAAGTAAATTTTTTAAAGTTTTTCCTATAATATTATGTACACAATGACCTCCAGGGTGAAACCAATTTTGACCTTAGAGCTATAATTTGAAAAATTTCGGTAGAAGTCCAATACATAATGTTTCATGCAAAATATCTAACCTCTAGCCTTATCAATTCAGAGCAGAAGATTTTTCAAGTTTTAACTATATACATATAAGAAAATCCTATCACAGCCGGGCAGGAACACTAGGGGGGAAATTTGAACGACTTTGGTAGAGGACCTGTATGTGATATTATATACTATAAATTATATATCAAAGCTCTAAGCCTTGTACCTTAAGACAAGAGATTTTTTAAGTTTTTATAATATGTACAAAGTGAAAATCAATGACCTCCGGGGTGGAGCCAAATTTGACACCTGGGCTATAATTTGAACAATCTTGATAGAGGTCTACCAGACAATACCTTAGCTCTAAGCCATGTGGGTCTTTACAAGAAGATTTTTTAAATCTATTATTGTAATTCCTTTTGGTTGCCATGGCAACTAGATTTCTGCATGGAATCAAATTCTTTGAACAATTTTGGAAGCCCTTCACCTAAGGATCAATCCAGTTTGGTTGAAATTGACTAGTGGTTTTTGAGAAGATTTTTTAAGTTCACTATATAACACACACACAGGTGAATTGCTATAATATGCCACTGCATTGCAGATGCTGCGGTGGCATAAAAATCTTTGAGGTTGAATCAATGCAACCAGTATGAACCATGATAGACACCCAGGCACATCTTCATCTATCTTTGTTTATTCTCATTAATTTAAACATTTTAAACTTTAGGGGCAACTGTCTGAGTCATTAACTTTGTTTTAATTTCCATGTGAATTAAAGGTCCTATGAGATGCAACAAACATGTCTAATTCATCTTTTTTAGCGAGTCGGTAATTTTTATTTGCTTCCTTTGAGAATTACACATCTTTTAATAACTTTATCTATTCTTTAAAAATGTGGATTTAATTAACGGAAAATTTCTTGCATTTATCTTTTTTTAAGAATTTTATTTTTAGTCTTATACTTCTTGTGTTAATTACGGACTTAAATTGACAATTAAAGACCCTCACTATCTGAGCAAAGTTACTGTCATGTGACAGTGACCATGAATAGTTTACTGTAGCACATTTTAAAATTGCTTTACTTTTCATAGAGAAGAAATGGTCAACCTGTCAAGCAATTTTTAGCATGTCACATTGTTGCCTTTTGCTGAAAAATTCCTAACCATGCACATTTCAATTCTGTCTTTTGATTTATTGCTTTTCTTACATTTGTTCCAAATACATGCAAACTGAAAAAAATAAAATAATATATCATGACTGTTCTAGAAAGAAATTTTATAGAGTTAAAATCATTATAAGACACGGGCTAATATGACTATGTTTTTTGTTTGTTTGTTTGGTTTGTTTGTTTTTGTGTTTTTTTTGGGGTGGGGTGGGATAATATTGTTCATGAATAAAATCATAAAACACTTTTAAGTTTGAAGGAAATATGGGTTCTTTACATAAAATGCACCAAACGCACATTGAAATTCAAGACAATAAAAAATCCAGTTTTGAGCCCCGAAAACCAGCTGAAAATCCAGTTTTGGCCAATTTCATTTGTCACATGTATGTATTGAATTTGAAGGTATTACATTTTCTTCTTCTTTACATCCAATTTCAAACATTCTTTTTCCAAACAACAAATTTAAACATAAAAAGTTGACAAATTGCATTACATATAATTTTAACACTAGCAGGTAAAGTATGTGTATCTACTGGTTGGGGACCACCAAAACCGGACAACCACCAAACCCGAATGGCCCAGAAAATGCCTGATTTATCTGTTTTCTTTGTTCACTGGTTGTCGATTTATCAGACACTTTATTATCAACAATAAATACATGTTTCTTCTACAATTAAGTAATTAATTTTATTTCAACTTTCGTAAATGGTAATATTTAAATTCTGTTTCAAGAATGTTGACATTGAAAATTTGGATATCAAGAGTGCCATACCTGACCTCTTTTACTAGCCATAATCATTTGCAGAGTAAATAGAATATCCAAAACTTCTGCATTTGCTACTGAAATATTTTATATCATGTTAAAAATAAAAAATCAAAACACCCCAGCTTTTATTGAATTAAATCAATGCCATGTACATATCTGTCCGGACACATGGTACTGTAGTGTGGACAATTTAGGTAATTTTGATACCATCATTGATGGGCCTCATATGTAAATGTCAACATAAGCACAAATAAACTAGTATATATGTTAGATAGGTGAAGAACCTAGCTGTACTGGTCAAATGTTCAGATCTCTAGCTTTAAAATCATGAAATCTGTATGGAAGTGTTCAAAAAGTGTCTGGTTGATGGTCCCTGACCAGTACAGAAAAATTTACCAAACTATTTACATTTTTTTTTTAAATTATGCTTTTCATAATTTTGTTTCAATACAAATTTTATTGGCAATAGCAACAACAAAAGGTGTATCAAGGTTTGATATGTTCAATATTCCATCTCTATTATTGTTTGCAAGTATTAAATTCTTTGTTATTTGAAATTATTTTCAGTGCAGTCAATTAAAGCATTTTAATACCGGTATGCAGGATTTTGAGACCTGTAAATTAGAAGTAAAAATATCTCAAAACGACGTCATATTTATAGGACTACTGTAAACCCTGATAATTGATGTAGGATTATGTTGGTATCGTAATTCTTTTTATTCATCTAAAATGTTTTGAAACCAGCATCCAGTGTTTGACAGTGACAATGTTCACGTCATGCATTTAGTTAAGTTCAGAATAATCAACATGTCATAGAGACCTGGCTGCATGCTATAGATTAGACAAATGTACACAATTGTTTGGAAAAAACATACTCATATAACTATACACACTTTCTTGACATGTCAATATTTATGCATTGTTTTCAAAAGATCTGCTCTAAACTTTGTGAACTTTTTCGTTTCCTGCAAGCCTCGTTGTGGGTATTACGGGAAATCTATTAGCCAATCAGAACGCAGACATAAATAATCACGGAGAGCAGTTGTTACTCGTTGGATCAACTGACGGTCACGCTTCGAATGAGCGCAAAATATCAAACTTTTGTAGCCCTAATATCCATTCAGTCTTGTCCACAAAAATAGATCCCAAACGATACTTTAAAGACCATTTGCATATATAATGCAATAATGTCCTTCTTAAGTTTTCAGTTTCATCTGTAATGACCAGGCAATAGGATGTAAAGTACTAAATGTAGTTTTTTAACCTTTACAGCTAATTTCTCAGAACTTTTGTATCTATAGGCAGCCCGCTTTTGGCATTTTTATTTATAGATAGCGAAAATGACGAGTGATAAGTGTCATGCATACAGAGAGGTTATTGAATGAGTGTAGGTTCAATTTATTTTATTGAACAAGTTAAATAAAACTATATTTCTCGCGCCTGTGGCGACCATGATATCATTTATTCAACGAGTTCAACAAGTTATAAATATCGAAGCTACACAAATATAATATTATTTTATTAAACGCAGGAGTTTACTGTAAAGTAAAAATAAACCTTTTTAAAGACCCTTTCGTTCAATTATGAATATACCACGAAGAGAGTTACTTATGCATAGATTAATTCAATATCAAGACAATAAGAAGAAATATAAAAAGAATGCAAAGTATGCAAAATTTAAACAAAGTTTACCGTACGGAAATCAAGTTATGGCCACTTTTCTGAACTCAATCTAGGATGTTTTGAGGGCCATTTTTTAGAAATGAGGAACCTTTAAATAATCTGCAATAACATTCTAATGAAAAATGTTTTCCCATTATTTTTTGGTAAGAAACAAATAGTACCATTGCAGCTAACAATCCACATAAGAAATTATGGTTTCTACTTAAAATTTATGAAATCTGTATAAAAATGTTACCCTACCCCACCCATTTTTACCACGTTTCTGACCATTTTTCTACTTAGGGAGTCTAATTTAAAAAATTCTTAAAATTTACCCAAATGAGTGCCTGTTTTCAAAGTTTCCCTAAATTTTTAAAAAAGTATATTGGTTGATCTTGTAAAATATGAAATACTTTTACTGTCTAGTTTTGATTATATTACACTTTGAAAATATTAGGTACCTGCACCATATCTATTACTAGATTTAGCATAATTTAGCCAACAAATACCTATATAAATTAAAAAATCAAAATTAATCACTTTTTTCTTTCCAAATAGGACATGAGAGATACATAAATAATGTTTAAAGAAAAAAAGGAAGAAAAAAAAGTTGACCCTTCTGGGGATTGAACCCATGGCCCTCATTTTCAATGTAGTTAACAGTAGTTCACTCTTCAACAAAGCGGAGGTAATGCTTTAGGATGCTAATACCTTAAATAGTTATTTTCTTATGCATACATTAATTATTCAATATAAAGACAATAAAAAGAAATACAAAAAGACAAATTGAGATCCATTCTTGCTACGGGGTAAAACAGCGGAATTTCAAAGTGAATATATTTATTATGCTTGTGTAAACAGTATATTTTAGTGTATGAAATTGATAAAAACCAACATCAAACTTGTTTTGATTATTTGTTTAATAGAAAATAAAGACGGAAGAAGCAATGTTTCAGTAAACCTCTTTTAGATCTTGATATAATTCTGAACATGCTGAAATAAGCACTTATTTTGAAAGTCATTTAAATGCTGGATGCCAAAGAGAAGCCTTTTATCAATACTCACAAAATTGGCATCTGCTTCAAAATTGGTATTATGAGTTGGTTAGTGGTAGCGGTGTTTGACACACAACTGTTAGATATTACAGCAACTTTTCTTTTCATTTTCTTTTCTCATATACAATGTATCATTTTAACCTTTAAATATTAAAATTTAAGATTACTTAATGTTTTTGTACTTTGATATAAATCTTTACTTTACGCAACTGATGATAAACAGTTGCCAGGGAGAGCCCCGATGATGTTGCGAAAACATTTGGCCCAGCCCTTTTGTAAATCGTGCAGAAATATCTATGTAAAAATGATATTTATTTATATGAGCCGCGTCATGACAAAACCAACATAATGGGTTTGCGACCAGCATGGATCCAGACCAGCCTGCGCATCCGCGCAGTCTGATCAGGATCCATGCTGTTCGCTAAGTAGAGAAACTGATAGCGAACAGCATGGATCCTGATCAGACTGCGTGGATGCGCAGGCTGGTCTGGATCCATGCTGGTCGCAAACCCATTATGTTGGTTTTGTCATGACGCGGCTCATATATGCAATAAAATATTAAACAGTGTATGAAGTGTATGAAATTCCATAATTTAATGAAACATATATATTTAACTGATGGCAGATTTAATCAACATACAAATTTATCTTGAAAGTAAAAGAACATATGAATGGATATTACTATTTGTTTACATGTTTAGTTTCTTAGCGTAGGTTAGACCGAAATGCCGTATCCGTTCTGTGTATTCATACGTGTCCGAGGTCCTTATCTGAAGGGCCGAAAAGTTGCGATTGGAATTTACCCCACCATATTTATTTTAGCAAGACTACTTGGTTAAATTTATTGTTGTTTTAATAACGAAAAGGTCAGAGTTGACCGGAGTACGGCGAAAAAAACCGGACAGTTTTCCCGCTTTACACATTACAGGTCACGTGATCATTTGAGCACAGAAAAAGACCAGTTTAGAAGGGAACGTCACACGGCGAAGATGGAAAATTGATTTTGCAGGTGTTTTAATATTGCGTCATTTGATTTTTTCAGGTATGTACAGTACTGCAAGTAGAAGAAGAAGAAGAAAAATAGAAGAGCCTGTTTAGAATGGAGCGTTGCACGGCGAGGATGGATCGAAGAAATGGCGTGCAGGTGTGTTGATATTTTACAACTTTATTGTGTCATTTGATTTTTTCATTAGCCTATCGTATTGAATGCCTTTGTTATATGACTGTTTATTTTTATTTTGATGATTTGTATATATAATTCATTAATTGCTCCTGATAATTGAGACACCTGGCCGTTTTATTACCCCGCCCCACATGATTTGCTAGTTATCGTGTTGATGAAATATGGTTTATGCTTAATTTGACGATCTCGATTGGCCAGTCTGACCAGCCGCGTGACATAACATACTTCGCACGACTTGACATACTTCGGCGTTTTTTGTTTATTTTTTTTTATTGTTTATTGACAAACTCTCCTGCCGCGTTCTGATTATTAATACATGTATTTTGTGCATGTCAAACAGTTTTATTTATAAATATATAAAAGGATGTATGTTTAAAAAAATGTGTATACAAAATTTGTATGAAAATTGGTATAAAAAATGGATATAAAAATGTTTCTGGTCGCTCTGTGATATATGTTTAATGCATAATGAGTATTAAATGCAAAAAAAGGAGTGGAAAAAAATCGCAAACAATAGTTTAACTGTAAACATGTCAAAGAAGGTTTTTTAAATATGTAAAATAATGAGTTTCAAAAAATGTGTATAAGACTGTGTATGAAATGTGTATTAAAAATGGTATAAAGAATGGGTGTTTAAAATTGGGGATAAAAATTATGTATAAAAATGGGTATAAAAGATGGGTATAAAAATTGTTTCTAGTCGACAGTTTCTAGTATGAGTGGAAAAAAGTGGTAATTCTATTGGAGAAATCCTATTAAACTTAATTGTCAAAGGTTTTTTATAAATATGCAAAAAAATTGTTTTAAAAATGTGTATGAATAATTTGTATGAAATGGGTATCATAAAAGGTATCATAAAAGGGTATTAAAATGTATCTGGTCTCTCAGCCTCAGGTTGACTGCTTCAAAAAGCCTGTTAAATATGTCAAAGAATGTTTTTTAAATATTTAAAATAGCGAGTTTAAAAAAAAAAATGTGTATAAAACTTGTGTATAAAACATGGGTATCATAAAAAGGTATAAAAATCTGGTCTCTCTGCCACAGGTTGGCTGGGGGTCTGTACTCTCAACGTAAAAAGATGTTAAAAAAAATGGGTATCATAAAAAGTAAAAAAAATCTGGTCTCTCAGCCACAGTATAATTGGCTGGGGGTCCACTACTCTCAATGTAAAAACATGTATAAAACATGGGTATCATAAAAAGGTATAAAAAAATCTGGTCTCTCAGCCACAGTATAATTGGCTTGGGGTCCGTACTCTTAACGATCGGTATCATAAAAAGGTATAAAAAAAATCTGGTCTCTCAGCCACATGTTGGCTGGGGGTCCACTACTCTCAATGTAAAAACATGTATATAAAATGGGTTTCATAAAAAGGTATTAAGGAAATCTGGTCTCTCAGCCACAGTATAATTGGCTGGGGTCCGTACTCTCAACGTAAAAACATGTATAAAACATGGGTATCATAAAAAGGTATATAAAGATCTGGTCTCTTAGCCACAGTATAATTGGCTGAGGGTCCGTACTCTCAACGTAAAAACATGTATAAAACATGGGTATCATAAAAAGGTATATAAAGATCTGGTCTCTGAGCCACAGTATAATTGGCTGAGGGTCCGTACTCTCAACGTAAAAACATGTATAAAACATGGGTATCATAAAAAGGTATATAAAGATCTGGTCTCTCAGTCACAGTATAATTGGCTGGGGGTCCACTACTCTCAACGTTAAAACATGTATAAAAAATGGGTATCATAAAAAGGTATTAAGGAAATCTGGTCTCTCAGCCACAGTATAATTGGCTAGGGTCTGTACTCTCAACGTAAAAGCATGTATAAATCAAAGCACTGAATGTACTGATGGGGAGGCTATGAGAGAATGTTTTAGACTTATAGTTTCTTTTCTTTTTGCTTAAAATATGCTACCAAAATAAAAAGATATGCACATTGCGCTATTTATCCTTACTGTTGTGTTCAACCATTCATATATATGGTTAATGTGGTTGACTATTCATTTTGTTAATATTCCAGAACATTTAATTGAGGTCTACATTCGGACTGTTAATCATGCA